AGGAAAAATACCTCAAAATATTATTCTACCAGTAATTCCAACCTTCATTTCTATTTATGTTTGTGCGGTTCTTGGCATCAATCACGTGATAAAATCAGAAATTAATAATGCTAAAACGTCTTATTCAATTTTAGAGATTGGATAAACTTCAAGAAACCGTGGAATTAATTAAAGACGATTTAAAAGTTATTAAAGGAATTTTAATGCAAAAAAATTATCAAGCCGGACCAACCGAACGAACTGCAAAAAGAGGATAAATCGGAAATTCTGATGCCTTTTCTTTGTTAAGAAAACTACTTTGCATAATTATTTCGTAAAGATAAAAACAAAATTTTTATTGTGCTATCATTTGTCAATATGTTGTATCTTGTCAACCATAATGCTATAATTTTTAACTTTTATTAAAAAAAAAATAAGTTTGATGGTTAAAGTTGATTTCTATTCTATGTAAATTTATTATAGAGTGACTGCATATAAGTAAAACATCAGAAAATTCATTCCATTTTTTAGTTAATGCAATGTCTTTATATTACTATCCCCAAAAATTAACCAAATTTAGATCATAATTTTATTGATAAATAAATAATTACAAAAATTTCTACTCCTTCTTTCTACCTTTAGCGATCAAATATTTAAAAGTACATTCCTTTTGATCTTTTTCAATAAACTGATTAAAAGTAAATGAAAGCTCAACTTTAACATCATCTAAAACTCCAGTATTCAGGAAAACTTCTTCGATTTCATTATGATAAAAACCACCTTTATGAGCCACAGTGTGTTCAACGTGTTTATGTTTATCACCAAGCCTATTAAAATGACCAATAGTTTCAGGATCTTTGGTTAAATCAAATACGATCAATTTTCCAGATGGTTTCAAATAAGAAGCCAAAATACGTGTAATGGCAGCGGTATCGCTAATGTGGTGATAAGCGGAAGCGCACTTTTTTTTTTATTATTTATTTTTTTTTTTTTTGGTGACAAAAAGAAATAGTACCGCGAGTTAGATAGTTATGATAGTAGTAGCAATTAAATATATATATCAACCTGAAAAATCAAAGTACCCACCACAACTAAATCGAATTTTCTCCCATCTAATTGATCACCTTCAGATTCTTTTAGATCCAAACAAATAGCTTTCATTTCACTTGCATCAATACCTTGTTGCCAGATTTTTTTATTATATTCATCAACCATGTTTTGAGACGAGTCGACACCAATGATAGATTTCACATAAGGGGACAACGCTTGAGAAATCAATCCTACATCATTAAAAAAAAAAAAAACTCAAAAGGGTAAGGTATTTTAATTAATTGATCAATGATTTTAAAATCAAAGTATCACACGTACCGGTTCCGCAAGCAAAATCCATAACTTCGGTTTTTTCTGGATCCAATTCACTCCTTAATTCTTTAATGATGGCTTCGCCACATTTTTTTGAAATCGTTAAAGCCAATGGATCTATATCATACTTTTTGGCCTCGGAATTAAAATGAAGTTTATTATGATGACCGAAACTATCATCATTGGATGAAGCAGGGATTTGATCGGATGACGACATATTTTCCTTCTTGGTTTTTTGGGCTTGAAAATCAAACCTTTTTGCCTTGTTTTAAATACAAAAAAAAAAAATTTTGTTTATTAAACCTTGCCTCGATTTGGTTGTTTATTATTTGTATGAAAGGTGTAGATTGTGGCGCGGTAATGCGTCATAGTTTATGTGATTACGTCATTCCGTATAGCCTGTATAGCACACACTGTATATGGGGGTATTACACAAACCTGTACATGTATTGTACGGATTTTTTTATGGTACGTATGATTTTTTCATAACAAATGGACCATACTTATATGGTTTCTAATACTATATATTTATAAAAAAATCATCTTATACATATATTGCCATATTCCCTCTTATATGGCATAAAATGGCACCGGAACATATTCCCGACCAGCCGCGAACACGTAAAGAATATCGTTGCATCACGATTACGACCGCAGTTCGTTCTTTCATGCGTGTACGATGATGATTCTCATTGCATTCGGACAAAACATAATCTGAAACACCATACGTTTCATGTACGCACATGCCATACATAATCGTGTTATCTTTTTACCCAAACCGTCAATTTCGGTTAATTATGAACGTGAAACTTTTTGCTGCGCATCAAAGGAATTCCCTTCAACCATTATGAGAACGTTTCTAGTAAATTTTTTCCTTCTCACATCTTTTTAGCATGACCTTTTATATGGAAGTTCTTTGTCAAAGGGACCAACAATTCCCACATTAAATTTCATTCTTTCCTTGATCTTTTTTTTTAATTTAACCTAAAAATTTTTTCTCAAATCCCTCCGATTAACCTAAAAAAAACCAAGTCATAACGTATAACCAAACTTTAACTTTATAAGTTAAAATTGGTTTCATTACGATAATGGAATTGCATATTATTTGATTAAGGCTGAAATACGGTACACTTTGTAATTCATCAACTAATTAATTAACTAATAATAATTTATATATATAAATGAATGAGCGACAATAATTGAAATCTTGTACAATATTAATCAACAATAGCACAGCAATCAATCACACAGCTCTTATTAAATGTCCCCCGAACGCTTTTTTTATACTCAAAGATCGAAGATGATTTTCAAATATCGGCAATGTAATTAACATTGGACGAACTTGTACGAATAATCAATCGACAAGAATTCATTTGAAATGCGTATCTACGAAAAGGGTCCTACCAATAAAATGATCATGACGTTGTGACATGAAAAGTTGTGAAAGTATCCTAAAAATCTACCCATGTGATGAAACCATCGTGTGCATGTTTGTTTTGCCCTTGTTCTCGATAAAATAGATTATTTTTATACGCATTGAAAAATTTAGATGAGAAAGAACCCTTTTCCTTCCAACATGAGATTTACGTTGGAAAAAAATTTTTTTTTTTTGATTGTGATCGTATGTGGATAAAATCAATCACATAAATCATTTTACGCCCAAACTTTTTTTTTAAAGCTTTGTAATTCATGTGAATGAATTGATTAAAGCTGGGTGTGAGAGCAAATTATAATCGCATCTAACATGTAATCAATGACCTGATTTAGACTTTACACTTTCACTCAGTCCGCCGTCACATTGCATTGCATTAATATAAATTAATTTTTTTTTTTTTATGAAACTTCCTGAATAATTGAACAATTAAAAAAAAAATACCAACACAAGATAAATTTTCCCTTTTTATTATTGAGACCACAATTGGTCCCCATAATAACAAGGTCCCAAATATCATTCCGTTTAGCAAAGGTCCCCTTTCGGATGAAAAGTCCACCTGTCACGCTTTTACGATTCTAATTAAATCCTAATTAAAACTTGTTTGTCGTATGACATGTATTAGGAAAGTTCTACCAAATATTTTTGGTGCTCGCTTTAAATATCTGCCTTTGTCTCCTTAATTTTCGTCCAATGGCTTACCGGGATTGCATTCCCTTTTTTGGTTTTTGAACATATAATAGCTGTTAAAGTTTACGGTTTTTGAGTTAAACTCCCGCCTTTTTACTCAAAAGATAACTTTTTTTTTTTTTTTTTTTTTTTGTTTTGCTCGGTCAAATAACAAGAAAGATAGAAAGAAGAAAAAAAAAAATTTGTTTTTTTTTTCCCATAATAATTACAGCGGAGTTTTTTTTATATCATTAATTACTCATTAGATTACATACTTAGAGAATACATACATTTATGTATATATTGTATCATTATCATATTTATAAAAGGTTATCATAATAAGGTTTAACTTTAATCTTATCTTTCCTGCATTCAAAGAGAAAAATTACTTTCATATCAACTAATGTTAATGTGTTCAAGAAGAGCGAGTTCATATAACAAAATTTAAATACCCGTTTTTTAAAAAATATTTATCATTTCAGCCGAGAATACCGAGAAATATTCCTAAATATTAAATTAAAAAAAAAAAGAAAAGAAAATATGGAATCAAGCAAAAATATAATTGGACAGGATGCCCAAGCCAAAAAATTATCCCGTTCAAGGTCCACCTCAAATAAAGTTAAAAATAACAAACCGTCTAGTATAGTGACCTCAAATTTATCAAATATCAGTAAATCCAAGGTTGATAAACCAAAATCTCCCATCTTATCAAAGGATGTCTCTTCTTCACGAAACGTTGAAAGAAAAAAGTCCATCAGTGGCGCCCCTTCTACGATCAGTCCATTGAATAGGAATAAAAGTGTTCAATCAATTTCGACGACGATGACGAGAAAACAAAAGGTTGGAACGAGTTCTTCAAACGTGTCTGCCTCCGATGAATCCGGTCCCGATAATCTGTTGGATAGAAGGCCTTCCGCTCCTCCAAAATTAAATTTGGCATTTAAAAATCATCGTTCTGTTGCCGCTTCCCAACAAACTTCCCCAAACGATTCTTTGAGCAAGAATTCTTTGGGTAAGGTTTCTCCGAGCGTAGCTATTTCTCCTCCACTTATGTCCCCCAAAATAAGGGAATTACGAAAATCCGAACCCTTTCAAGCAAAACCTTCCGGCAAAGAAACTTCCGATGACGATTCTTCAACCGTTTCGTCATCAAGGGTCAATAAGAATAATAAGAATAAACTTTCCCCATTTACCTCAAAGTCACGTCGTGTTCCTGCAAAAAATCTTGCCATAAAGAAACCTTCCGTCTTATCTTCTTTGCCTAAAGCCGAATTAAATAAAGAATTGTTGGCTAGGTTGGAACATCAAAATTCTCAACTTCCTCCTCAGGTAAATAAAAACTTTTTTTTTAAAAAAAAAAATTATTTTTAATATATATTAATATATTTATGATCTTTTTTTTTACTTTAGGATTCGACTCAATTCTTATTGGCACGGCTTGAAAGGCAAAATGACATGTTGGATAACGATCCAAAATCGGTATGCATCGAATCCAACGTACTTAAGGCCAACTTGGAGGTCGTGCAATCATTAATTGATGACATCACAAGTCCATTAGCTGATGCTTCGGGTTCCGAAGATCCTTACTCTTCTCCTTCGACCACCAAGAAACATCGCGATTCGAACGACGAAGAAACGAAGAAGATCGATTGGGATTTTTGGACGGCGTTGATTCAAGATTACGCTGCCGTTGCTACAAAATTGCCTCACCTGTTGTCTGCAAAATTACAACAAGGCTTACCCATGAAATTAAGAGGATTGATTTGGCAATCAATGAGTCAGGCTTCGTCGACTTACTTGGAAACCATGTATAGT